GATTCTTCCTCGAATATAACGCAAAATAATACAGTAAACTTGAGAGATCATACGCACAAATAGAAATTCAATAGATATCATTTCAGATTGGAAAGAGTGAGTGAATCATTTCTTTTACCTCAGGATTAATAAATAAGTAAATAGTAGAAATGATTGATTTTCTTATTATTTTAGTAATGCGAACGAAGATGTATATTAATACAATCTTCGCCAAATTGATAAGTTTTGCGATAAATCTCTATTTGTAGTTATCGTCTAAATTACAATATAATCTTACTTTTTTATGTAGCAAACACCGAAATATTCATATCACCGCGTTGACAGAATATAATAAATGAAATCAATAGTTTGGTAATCCTAACGCGCGATTCGATTAAACGCTTAATCAGAATGTTTATTCTAAAGTAAATAAGATGCAGTCTTTTTAAATAAAATCAATGTAACGTGCTCAAATCCCTTATTATTCTAAAGTTCCTCCACGCAAGCTAAATTCCTACGGACATCTGTAAATAGCTCTTTGTTTTTGTGCCTAAATAATCAGAATATAAATCTTCTCGTCAGAAACTAATTAGGAAATATCAATTTTGAATAATTCAAAAATATTAATCGTAAAAATGATGCGAGGTGCACAGCTGATTTATTTTTAAGGCAGTCTTTTAGAAAAATCACTCGAGTTCGTACAGAGATACACGTCATCTCCAGGTGCACAGCTGATTGTGAGAAATTTATGGACTATAGGCGCCATCTCTCGGTCAATTCTCACAGTCGGTGTTAGTCTTGTCGGTAGTGCCAGAGAGAAACCTGAGAGCGGCCACGCCAGCGTTTTACTTGATACCGTTGCCGCTCGGCTGATTCCAGCGCCTTACGTCCATTTTCATTTTTAGAACAAAACGACATTTCTCGCGTGTGACTCCCTAAACGCAGTCAAATCGTGGTTATATTGAGGTTCATAATTCTTCATTATCGCTAGACGTTCAAGGAAATCGTGATAAGTACAAATCAATTACATTAACACGAATCAATCCGTGTTTCACCTATTATCTTTATGATATCGTACCATTATCATTAATATACACTGGTCAAAAAAATTAACGCAACAAGAAATTTACATCAAAATTTTGCGAATTTCAAATAAGCGTAACTTCGCGAAAACTAGTCGAATTGAAAAGTTTTTTTTTCATTTTACAGGGCAAAGCCTCTGCTTTAAGAAGCTCTTATTGGAATTTGCATTCACTCTTCCCATTTCCCGGAACTTTCTCAAAATCAAGATCATGTTTTTTCTCTAAAAAATTGCACACTTTGACGCACTGTGCGGAGCGTAATAATTTTTCTTCGCCAGTTCTGCTTACGGTATCAAAAAGTGTATTCTTTTCTCTTCAATTTAAAAAAAAGAAGTTCCTACGATTTTTTTCGCCAAATCACAGCTCATTAAAGTAACCCTTGTGTTTTCGACAATAACCGACGATATCTCCGTTAAAAATCATCGTAGCAAGATCGTTTTTTTTAAATTAAAGCTTGCACTTTCAGCTTCAAAAACTAGTCACCAGATTTTTCCTCGAATGCATCTGCGCTGCTGTAGCTTTTAAAATGTAAGGACATGTTTTTACCTAAAAAGTAACCAACTTTGGCCAGGTGCCCCGGGCGTAAGAAATTTTTCCTCGCTAATTCTGCTCGAAGTATCAAAAAGTGTATACTTTTCCCTTCAATTTAAAAAAAAGAAGTTACTGCGATTTTTTCGCCAAGTTACAGCTTTTTGAAGTAACCCTTGCATTTTCGTTCATTACCGTCGACATCAGCGTAACCCAATGTGCACGTGGAGGTTGCCGATCGGATTTTGCACATGTGGCCCTACAAGTCACGCAGCCTTCTTCCCATCATATCCTAGATATGTTCGATATGAATACACCACCGGCCCTCTTCAGGGCCAGAAGAGTGAATGCAAATTCCAAAAAGAACTTCTTAAAGCAGAGGCTTTGCCCTATAAAATGAAAAAAAACTTTTTAATTCGACCAGTTTTCGCGAAGTTACGCTTATTTGAAATTCGCGAAATTTTGATGTAAATTTCTTGTTGCGTTAATTTTTTTGACCAGTGTATTTATATATAAAACCTCTTTTTAATGCTTTCTGGAAATTAGCATGTGTTAAAAACAACAGCATAAAAACATTTTCTTTTAAATTACAAATACCATTGACGAAAAAGTGGAAAATTATCAAATACGCCCAACATCTGATAATGATTATATGGTACATCTGGGAGCTGTCTTATCAAATGCTAAGGATTAAATTGGGGCATACCTCGTACTCGTCCGCCAAAAAAATGCGTACTAATGAGTAATATTTGACACAAAAATTAATATCGACAAAAAGTAATATTGAAAAATCTAGATCTCCATGTATGTTCAGCAGACTATGTTCACTATTAAGAATTGTGTATAATGTGTGTATGTATATAAATACATATAAACCAATATATATTTGTATAGGCAGTACTATCTAAATATAATATAGTATATACTATATATATTACTATTTACATACACTTGTAAAATATACATAATAGTATATGTGTAGTATATATATTACATTTAGATAGTACTGTCTACAAACATATATATTGGTGTTATACATATATACATATAAACTTGCATTTATTATTTCACATGTAATCTAAAACCAATTAAGAACCTAATCAGCCCCCTCGCTAGATATAGTAATATAAAATATAAAAATGCTATCCAGCGCATGGATAGTTTTACACCTCCATGTGCTAGATTGCACGAGGTTACACATAATGCTAAGAGCTGGACAGGTTGTGCTAGCCTTAGGTTAGATAGTGTCTAGGGAAACTGGCTTACATCTAGCAAATCCCAGGTTCAAATCTCCACACGGGAATACAAACAGATTAAAATTCTTTTCGAAAACTTACAATATATTATTACATCATTGATATTAAACTAAAACTGGATGTCAAAACAAAAATTGGATGTCAAACTCCTATGCTTTTTTGTTTAATATCAATGACGTAATATTGTAAGTTTTTGAAAAAATACTCTGTTTGTATTGACTTGCGTTGATTTCGTTGTGTGGTCAACATACTTTTGAGTTGCAATGTCCTGCAATTAAACTTGTAGATTGTTGAATTCCTTCAGAAGGACCACAACTCGTATGGTCGAAGCGTCGGATATAAATAAAGAAACCACCTGCCAGCCTAAAATCACCTAACAATTTCTTTTATTGTTAATCAACCACTGACGATTTACATTCTTCTTTGTTACTGACACATAAATTATATTTATAATTGCAAAATATAAAAATTTGCTAACAAGCTACGTTGTACTCCTTTTGCAACAAAATTTGTAGTATTATAGATCGTTCTCGATAAACTTGGTTATCTATATAGTTTATTATAACTTTTGTATTTTTTTTAGATTTGAATTAAATTTTTATCTGATAAAAACAGACCACCTTGTAGAAGCCCTTAACCACACCTTCTCAGCGGTTCTCTTTCCTTTCCAATAATTGGGGTTTTACATTTTTATCATTTATTATTTTTAAACATATATACCTAATAATATGCATACGATAATACACCAGTCTTGCGATGTAAAACATTAATTAAAAATGCTACACACGAAGTTGTGGCTATTATATAAATAACCTTTCTTATTACCGTACAAATTACAACATATTACTGTTTTGTACACTTTTCTTATAGTTGGCTATACTATCCACCCCACGTTTAATACGTAGGCTTTCAGATTCTTTTTTTTCTTGGAATGTGGATAGATTTTAATTGATTAAGACATTTTGTCATCAAAGCTTATTAAATACACTAGAATTTCAGAAAGTTACAAAATAAAAAACCAGCGATTTGAAAATTATGACCTCAAATAAAAACTCTATGGCCATAATGTTCGCCTTTACCCTATCCTTAAAATATCTTATACATATATAGCCACGCAGGATATCTTTAAGAGATCCAAGAAATATCCTCAGGCTGTTTGGATTTGTATTATATCCCAAATATATCCCACATATGTCCGAGAACATTTCGGATATATTCGAGATTATCCTGAGGATATCTTGTGCACGAGGATCCCTCACCTGTGATGGTGTGCGCCATCTAAACACGAAACGCAGCCTACATAACCACACGGACACACATCTACAATACATCGCACCCATACATAAACGCGAAAGTTTCATACAAACTATATTCTTATTTAAATCCGGGCTGGGGATATGTTTTTCGCAATAAGAATTTTAAATAAGGAGGGAAGGGGGTTATCATACGCGTTACAGTTACAGTTACTCGAAAAGTAACGAATCGTTACTTTGCAGTTACTCCCTTGCAATAGAAATAAAAAAATATCGAATCTGCATCTGAATTGTAACGGAAAAAATTTCTATAAATAACTACAAAAAATTGACTTGAAATAGAAATTTGTAGGAATTTTTTTATCTTCGTTGAAACATTTATTTCTTTGTAAAAATATCTATAAAATAGTATATCACACATTACAATGTTCTCAAATCAAGAAATTATTGCAAGTAGTATTTCATGAAAATGTACAATTTTGTAAAAATTAATACAAAACTTTACTAGTTTTAAAAATTTGAGAAACAACGAAATCTTAAAGAATTAAAACATCTGCTTACTTGTAGAATATTACAAAAATTAACAAAAGTGTTCCAATTCTAGCATTTTTATGTTGATTTTTATTTTTATAAACACTTTTTAAATTTATGTAGAATTTCTTAGATTCTGGCAGTTATATTTCATTTTTTTGTAGAATTTTGTAGAATTATTTCCGACAGGGGATAAAGGCGTTTATGCGCAAATGCAAGGCCTAATGCGATCTGTGGAGGTTGAAAATATATATAAAGTAACTATTAATGTAACTATTAAATTAGTTGCTAGTTATCGAAAAAACGTAACTGAGTTAAGTTACAGTTACAGATGTAGAGAAAGTAACGAAGTTAAGTTAGAGTTACCAAAGAGAAGTAACTGTAACTGTAACTTCGTTACAAGTAACAAGTTACTTCCCAACCCTGGTAAGATCTTACTAGAAATGTAGACATTTGCACCAGACATTATTACTGTAACATGAACAGATGGATACATGTGGATATTTTCCCCGCAATTTGTTAACAAGGGAATAACTTTCCAAAACATGGATTTGAAAGTCACGATCCCACCCGTAAAATGCTACTTTTTCCACAATCTTAGATATTCTCCAAAACCGTTCTTTTAGGTTTCTACGTAGAGTTAGTGCTTCATCATCATTGAGATCCGGCATAAACACTATTCCCAGACGTTGACAGAAAGAAAATAGTCTACACCAGCTATCCCTACCGAGTGCATTTTTGTCGCTGTAAATAAACCACACCATTATTGCGATTTCTCGCAAAGGGAAAAACAACTCATTATACAGGGTGTTACTAAATTCATGTTACAACGCTTCAGAGGTGAAGGTACAAAACAAACATTTTTTACCAATACACATGGGGGCGGAAACGAACCCCTAACCCGCTGGAACGCGCGAAAAGTTCAGGGTAGGCAACCCGTTGTGCACATCTTTTACTACGCTGGCCGCTACGTTTAAGAACAAATGTTGAGATTTTGTTTAAAACAACAACAGTTCAATTAAACAACGGTTTATTAATAGTTCTGTAAACCGATAACACATTTTAGAGCAAGGGCTCGAAATGACGACCACTTTGATCGACGCACAAGTGGCAACGGCGAATCATGTTTTCTTTTATCCTTTGCAACTTGCCTGGGGAAGCTCGTATCTCATCAAACGCTTGGATAATTCTTTCGGTGAGCTCTTCAACGGTTTGCACTGGCCGTAAACCACGGCTTTTAGGAGTCAACGGGTTGCCTACCCTGAACTTTTCGCGCGTTCCAGCGGGTTAGGGGTTCGTTTCCGCCCCCATGTGTATTGGTAAAAAAATGTTTGTTTTGATTTGTACTTTCACCCCTCAAGCGTTGTAACATGAATTTAGTAACACCCTGTATATTTCATGATACTTGCAAGAGTAAACATATAAATCACGATAAAGAATATAATAATATATTAGAGAAAATCTAGCATACCTCGTTATAACGCTCAGCATTCGTAAATTCTTGGACTCAGCGAGGGCAGCTATACATCGTGAATCAATAGCCCAGTCTGATAACTTTATTGTTTCCAAGTTTGAAAACAATTCTTTCTCTTGGAACATTATTATTGTAACTTCAGCTAGATCTGCTACCATACAAAACTGCCATGTCCTCAACGCTAAATAACGCAATCGGTGCTTTCCTTGCAGTATTTTACAATAGATTTCAATATCACTAATTGGCAAGTCTCTTAAGGTTAATCGTTCTAGGTATTGTAAGTGTTGGAGGTTCAACAGTCCTTCCGAAAAGTTTTCATTAAAACGCATATAATCCCCAGTCAAATTTAACACTAAAAATTGTATATGATTAGTCAGACATAATTTATATGTATTTTTACAACTCATAATCGTACCTGTCAAATTTTTACATGTTTCTACAATTTCACGTAGAACATCGTTGTTAATTAAGCAAAAAATTAATCGTAGGGACCTTAAATTCGAGCCACAAGTTTTAAGAAATGTTACGAAACGTGTGCTAGAAATGTCGCATGATACAAGATCCAACTGTTTTAAGTTTTTACATCTGGATTCCAAGCTAGATAGAATTTTACACTGCAAATCACTAACAGGATCATCGGTAGACTTCTTACACATGTGCAAATCTTGTATATTTAAATATTGAAAAAGCAAAGGATCTCGTGTTGATCGATTGAAGCGTTTATTCGTTTGGCTCATAAGGCACAATGACCTTAAATCTAAGTATTCCAGTATTTTTAGTATCATCTCATCCTGCAAGGATAAAATATAAAATTTTAATTCACGATATTATAACAAATACGTTATAAGAATAATGTTATAAGAAAGAAACTTCTTTAAATATGTGTTGAATATTTTACAGGAAGCATAGAAAAATTACAACGTGGTTGCTCCTTGAATTCACTTGGAGAGGGTGTGATGCCTTTCAATTTTCCATTATTTAAATGTAAATTGCTAAAAATAATGTTGAAATTAATTGACCGTTAATATTAATAAAAATAGAATATTACTTACTATCGAAGATTACAATACCTTTTACGAATAATACAATAGTCGGAAAATTTTTCCATAAGTTGATATATATCCAGATTCACATTTTTGTAATCTGGTGTTAAATTGTGCATATCCTTACAGCCAGGATAGCTGCGATTAATACCTTTTAATAGATCAGTTAAACTCTGTTTACGATCTTTAGGTTGAATTAATTCCGATGTTCCGATGAGGTCTACAGCATCTATTGGTATTCCCTTACCTTTATACGGAAATATTAATCTGAGCATTTTAGTTTTAAAATTACAAGTCCGTATAGGCGGGGAAAACAGTCCTGATTCGCAGCGGAGAAATTGTTTTTTTCCAGTCCATAATAAAAACCACTGATCAGAATCTCGCGCCCAAATTTCCATTACTTCAACAGGATTCAGTCCTTCATGTATAGAAACTCTGATTGGATATACAGCCTCTTGAAACTCGAAATCTACAGAATCAATAATTGAACCGCAATCATTTCTGAACATAAACGTGTCTTCTTTTATAATGCCTTATTTATCAATTCAAATGTTACATACCAACACGACTAAGTTCGTTCTCTGAGTATGAACGATGTAATGAGTTAATATCATTTGGTCTTAGCAGGGATGAAGATATTGAAATACGGAAATCCTTATCAAATACCTGTATTAAGAAATAATATCAGATCATTATGGCATTTCAAAATCTTGCAGCATAAAGTGAAATTATTAGCATTTTTTTACAAAACATTAGCAGATAATATTTGGAAATAACACATACATCATGTCCTAGAAGTTTCTTGTATTCTATAAATGTAGTAGGCAATCCATTTATATTACAATTACAAGAAGTTTCTCGTCTTATAATATCCTCATCGGAATATATTTCCGGAGAATCTAGATTGTGAAGCTGGTCAACTTGAAATCTGCTTTTGCACATATGTAATTGATGGATAAAGTTAACATGATCCTCTCCTACATTTACCCTTTTGATAATTACACTATTATTCCAATTTGATACGTAATGGGCCATCGAATTTTCTGAAAAAAATGAAATATAATCTCGGTAAAGAATTAGCCAGCACGTTGTCGGGAATCCAATTATACATTATAAAAACAACTAGTATTTCGTCTTGTACACCCATAGTTATATCTTTTCGGATACTCTCTACGTGTAATCTTATTAACTTGACTTTCGCATTTGTGCATATGTTGATAGATAAAGTTGACATTAACCTCTTCTATATTTACCCTTTTGACATTTATATTATTCTCGTAATTAGGTTTGTAACGGGTCAACTGAGAAAACTAAAATATAATCTTGGTAAAGAATTTGCCAGCATTTGTGTAGGGATTGGGTTTAGCGCGTTGCCCGGAAAGTGCGAAAGGTCGTGTCTGTTGACACTGTGCGAGCGATCAGGCTGACGAGGAGGCAAGCGAGCAGTCCACGAGCCGAGCGAACATAAGAAACACGTTCTAAATAATTGTAACGACCTAACGAGTAAACTCGCGGATTTGTGATTGACGGGACAATCTTCTGTGACCGTGACTAATAAATCAAACCCTTGAATACTGCAATAGTTGAACATTTATTCAGACTACACTTTGTCGCCAAATTGGTATCAAATAGTATAGCGGTTATGTCCGTAATGCGACAGCAATTTTGACAGCACAAACGAGGGAAGTAATTTGATGCCAAATTTATGTCAAGAAACCGAGCAAAATCTATTATTTTGTAGACATTTGAGCGTAACGTGATATCTAGCTAGTAGCACAATGTAGCAGAAATAATGTAAATCTAATGCTATTTTTCCATAATTTCCATAAATTTGCAAGTTGATTGGCTACACTGTTTCTCGGATTGAGGATTTGGATCGAAATCTAACATCGTGGACACGAAGTTTAATTTTAACAACCCAGATAACATGCTTGTTTAAAAGACATCTTCAAGACTTCTTTAAGATGTCTTTAAGATATCTTTTAGACGTGTATGTCTAAAAGATGTCTAAAAGACGTGTTAAAGACGTCTTAAAGATGTCTTTTAGACATGCATGTTATCTGGAAAGATACCACACAAAACGGACAATCGGTTCTTCCGGGATTCTCTCTCGTGATAATAAAGTAAATGCATGAATGTGCAATGTATTGTTATATCTGTTACGTTCAGTTAAGCTAATCTTAAATGTCGAAGTGTTCTTTCTCCTTTTATCTCTCATTCTTCTCTCGTTCGTTCAAGAGAGCAATCCAACGTCCCAGATTTGCAATGCCGAACGCAACTCTTGTCCGGCACAAAATATTATTTATAATATAAAATGTACCATTTTGTAAAATTAGAGTCATGGCGAAGTCAAAATCCATGTTGTGCCTGAACAAATTTACTGTCATTAATCTCGCGATATAATTTCGCCGAAGCCGACCCAACGCGCAGTTGTGAACGACCATGCGCGCCTGCTCGAATGGGCAACCCGTCGTACTGACATGTATGTTGCCTAAACACCCTGTACAACGAAACTTCTGATTTTCATATAAGCTCAAACTTTCAAATAAGACCCCTATCTAAAACTAAACAATATATGAGAACACGCTAATGTGGGTCACAAGGCAAGATGTAGGTAGCCCAACTTGCAAATCTTATATCTTTCTGAAAAAATCGTGAATCTATGTATCGCTTCTTTCCACATTAGTTCTACGCGCCGATTTTCTTTTTCGGACATAACGCAGTTTATCATACACGTGAAATTATTGTCGTCAGCAGATTCACGTATTCGATTCGATAATTATTTTTCAAATGCAATTCGCATTTTTCTGCTGCTACATTTAGCATTCAATACCCTTCCTCCCCCATTTTCCCCGTCCTGTAAATTAATTTTATTGCGAAAAATATTACCCCAGCCAGGATTCGAACCTGGGACCTCCCTCAATCCGTGACGGGCGTCTTAGCCAAGTTGGGCTACCTACATCTTGCCTTGTGACCCACATTGGCGTGCTTTCATATGTTGTTCTGATTTTCAATTTAATTTTTCACATCTTCAAGTTTTATTATACAAAATAACAACTTGAATATTATTTTGTAAGAACGCATCCAAAACACATCAACTCATTTGTTATCCAGACAATTACGAACACTCTTGTAAGATTGTTATCTGAAGAAGACCAGTATTACTGGTCAAAACGTCGTAATTTATAATAAAGAATTGCCAGTAAGGTCGCTTCCATACTTATTTAAAATAATACACTGGTCCAAAAAATTAACGCAACAAGAAATTTACATCAAAATTTCGCGAATTTCAAATAAGCGTAACTTCGCGAAAACTGGTCGAATTGAAAAGTTTTTTTTCATTTTATAGGGTAAAGCCTCTGTTTTAAGAAGCTTTTATTGGAATTTGCATTCACTCTTCCCATTTCTCGGAACTTTCTCAAAATCAAGATCATGTTTTTTCTTTACAAAGTTGCACACTTTGACGCACTGTACGGAGTGTAATAATTTTTCTTCGCCAGTTCTGCTTACGGTATCAAAAAGTGTATACTTTCCTCTTCAATATGAAAAAAAAGAAGTTCCTACGATTTTTTCTCCAAATTACAGCTCATTGAAATAACCCTTGTGTTTTCGATGGTTTCGATAGAAGCAGATGAAAAATATTGCAGAACCTATAAGATTATGTACGCAAAAACGGTAGGGAAATGCTAACTGCATCTAACTGATTCCTAATGAAATGGAACTTATCCGAATCTATGTGCAGACATAATTACGAATCCTATCCGTTCCTATACGCAGTCAGTTTTGAATGTCTATTCGCATCTAACTGCGGAACCAGACAGGATATATCTATCTGCATTTGTTCGTAACAGTGACGTCCGTTCTATCCGTTGCTTACTACAAATGCGTATACGTATCCTATTAGTTTCTTCCAAAAGACAAATCGAACCCAATCTATCAATTGAGTGCAATTAGAAGTTCGTTTGATCAGCCGTTGTTGAGAACCGAAAATCTGTGGACCCGTCAACTCGCGTACTCGCGTAAACTTACACGGCGGTGTTGCGCGCTCGGTTCTTGCTAGCTTATACTTGGCGCGAGACACTACACCGCGTCTCGTGATTCATATTTAAGTTGTCCCTGAACGCACATTATGCATATTATATATGAACATAAAAATTATACAAAAATGTTTTATTTATTCTAAAAAATTACCACAATTATCAGAAATAGACTATAGTTTTGAAATTAACCTTTAATAACTGGGTACAGTTGCACTTGTTATGTGTTGTAATTTTATTGTTAGACAATTCAATACGTACAGAGGCAATGCGATTTTCTATCAGCAATTACGTCTACGTATCGATTGCAACGAGTAAGTATAGGATGCGGACAGAAACCGATACGAATCATATTAATAATTGCAAACAGATTCCTAGAGGTCGACATTTGCATACA